CCCCAAAACCCCAAAACCCCAAAACCCCAAAACCCCAAAACCCCAAAACCCCTTTCATAAATATGCATGTTGAGGAATTTCAATTTAACTGTCCAGCTTAATGTTAGCACCGTACATCTAGAGCTTCTCTCGCAGATTCTAGCTGGTCTGGTGAAAAATAGCTGAATTAGCAAAGGGAAACCTACTCCTATTGTTACCTCTGAGAGAGCATGCACGGTGTCGATCCATTCTTTCTAGCTTAGTAGGAGATCTGTTGGAGCTATAACTGGATCAGTAACAGAGAACTTACACTAAAACTTATTTGCTCTCGATTCGCTTCAAGATTGTTGTATGCACCTTGATCTGGATCTATTGCGGCGTTCTTACTCTTCTTAATAACTGTGTAAATAAAGACAGCTATAATGAGACAGGAACCATACTTATTGAGAAAAGAGCATTGAAAATACTATTTGAGACCAACACCCAGTAATAAATTGAAGCTTTTGTATTGTTCCAGTATGTTTCCTTGCAATGGAAGAAGAGGAATGAGCAAAATCCAAGGTAAAACACCTCATTGACTACCTCTGTGATGTTTTCAGAGACTTTCTGGAATGGCCTACGGTTCGGGTTAGGTTGAGGAAGAGATATATTTTTCTCAATAACTCATATTTTGTTTTAATCTTACCTAATAGCACATATCATAAGTCAGTGGACCAAGTTCACCACTGAATAAAGTCCAAGGAAGAGAGATCTCTGCAAGTATCTTAAGTCTATATATTAGATATCAATAATTTCCTTACGGATTATCATCAAGCACAAGATAGCCCTTCTGAATAAGAACATCAGAGGATGGAGCCTAGCCATCCTGGCTGGCTTGAGCCCTTCAAATAGTTCACGTCGTAAGAACTTCTTTTTGATGGTTTTTGTGTTTATCCAAACTCCTACCACAGTGCAGAAAATCACTAGTATGAACGCACAGAAGAAGAATGCTGAGTAGGAGGAAGCTTGCTCAGGACCAGAGTTTGTTACCTCAAACCTTCTCAGTTCAGAAAATACACACAGTCATAAGTTGATAAATCCTTCATAAATCAAGACTACATACATTCCGAATGTGAAGGCGCTGCATACCTTCCTGAAGAATCTGGAGATGATGTGATTAGACTTCTTGCTACATTTTTCGAGTAGCATGAAGATAAGATGGCTCACAATAAATACCATCATGATTGCAATTAGTATGTTTAGGTTGAGGAACGTGCTTCCAGAACTGATATCTATCATATCGAAGTCAACTCTCTCTTGAGGGTAGTCGAACCAATCAGCTAGCTTCTTGAATACGATGAAAAAGCTCCAGTCAATGTTGATGTTAAATAAAGATGATGACAAAGACCTGAGATAGTTTGTCACTTTCAAAGGCAGAAAGATATCTAGTAGCAATAGAAGCACCAAGAGTTGGAGCTGGTTTAAAGAAGATAATACAGAATTTGTAGATGACTTACTCATCATTCCTCCAATGATATTGAGAGATACTACAACTGCAATAATTGAAATCATCGAGCCTTGCATAGCCTTTTCTTGGTCACTTAAAGGGATAGATTTATAGTATCGTTGACATTGAGTTGGACTAGATTGATCTCATCTCCATCCAATTTCAACCTCATCTCAACTTGAAGATCATCCATCACCATCAATAGTGTTGTCATCATCGCAAGGTTCTGAGCCTGCCCTATATCCGTCACCTCATTGAGTAATTCATGCTGTAGGGTTTAAAGGATAATTCTGATAAAATCCCAAAGTGCATTCAGTTCATTCACTTTTTGATATTGATGAACCTCCTGAACAAGCCCAGCTAGACTCTACTGTTGTTCAATCAGCTTTGCACCCATCTCCATCAGCAGTGTTTGCATTGTCGCAGACTTCTGTGCCTACTTTATATCCGTCTCCTCAATGGGTTACTCAGTAAGTTGGGTTTGATGGGTCGTTTTGGTAAAAACCTTGTGTGCACTCAGTTCAGATACTTTTAGTCATTGTTGTTCCCCCTGGTCAGACCCAACTAGTCTCTACACCAGTGCAGTCAGACTTGCACCCATCTCCACCGGCAGTGTTTGCATCATCACAAGCTTCAGTACCAACTACGAATCCATCCCCTCATTTAGGCCTGCACTGATCAGTAGTTGAAGGAGTTTGCTCATATTTCGATTGACATCCTACAGATATCTGAATTGGAGAATTTCCTACATCAGACTTTATTGCAAACCTCTCTGCAGGAATAGGTACAGAGCCAGCGCCGATGTCCCACTTGAGGGTGATGCCTCCAGGTCCTCCGTAATCAACCCAGTCGATTTCGATATCATAGGCTTGAGAGGCAACAAGGTTGTAGGCAACTGTGGTAGTAAACACAGCATCAGTTGGAAAGTTACTGATGAGTTCTATTACATTAAGCATGCATATACATTGAAGCACCGTTGTCTTGCACCAAGGTGAGGCTGGTTGGCCCTGTGTAGGAGGAGATCATTCTGGTATTCAGCCTTGCTGCCAAATTAGCGACTCCAGGAGTAATGTCTCCCCAATAATAAAAGTCGAGGTTTCTAAGCATTAAGATTAAGTTACGGAAGTGAGTTCATGTAGTATGGAAACCCAGATATTGAGAAGCTGCGATAGTATTTGGCTGACACTCCTAAGTTGTTCACATGCACCACTGATACAGTGGCATCTCCAATATGGTTCAATGTAAAGCTGGTAGAGTAAGTTCCATCTCCATTGTCAGTGAATTGTTGCGAAATCTTCCCACCGTTGGTTGCACTCTGAGTGAAAGATGATGGAATTCAGACCATATTGACACCTCTAGTGCAAGGGTCTGTGATGAGCAAGTTAATTTCTTCTCCACCTGTTGATAAACTATTACCAGAAGAGTCCTTCGCTTGCACAACAATTGTATAAGTCTGGTTGATCAATAAGTTATTTCCCGAGGCGATCCCAGAGATGGCACTCTGAGCAGGGTTAAATGCTTGGGCTATATCATGTTTATAAGAACCAAAAACTCATTGCCTCTAAAGCAAGGCATGGCATGCATATGAACCAAAATTATTCTAGACTTCCTTGATACTATTAACTACGAAATGCAAATAATCAAATTTTGTATAACTTTCAAACTCTTTGTGAATCTTTAGTCTATTGCACCCAAGGATATTTCAGCGTGATTCAAATTTCTGTACGTACCTGATATTACCTGAATAACTACCCACAACATTATTCAGAATCTAAACGCATTATGAGAGAATGAAGAAAAGTAGCTTTGACATGAGTCCAAGCAATGATGATCTTGAAATTTATTTTAACATTTGCAAAAATCCCTTCTCTCCGTAGTTTAAATGCTAAAGGACTGAGAACAGGCAGGAAAGCAGGACAGAGTTCTCTTTCCAAGCCCTTAGCAGAATTTCATAAACAAAACTCTTCACATTGGGAAACAGAGCTGAGGAAGATAATTCAGTGCTAAAACTTCGCAAGAGGTTGTATTAAGGAGCTACTTTCCACTTCTGTGGGTCAGATTCGCTCCCTGAGTATTTCCTAGCCTCTAATAACTGTTTGGAAACTAGCTGTACTGCTCTAGCTTACTTTATAGCAAAATGCATTTTGGATATAATTTTAATTATTTTAGATTCCATCTCCTTATCACTAGAAGGGGTTTTGGGGTTTTGGGGTTTTGGGGTTTTGGGG